TCAATCTTTGTCATATGAAAATGCTATTCCTCATAAATTTGTGAGTTGACATGTGGTGATTAGTGGTTTGATTATGAAATGAATAACAGTTTGCCTTACGGAATAAATAGCGTTGTTTTGCTTAAATGAACGTGAGTTATATGTTTGCGTTAATATCGGTTTTAACATCGTTGAAATTTTGTTTATATTCGAAAAAAGCAGGAAACTAGATGAAACTGTGTTCATTCCAACTCCTTGCCAAGAAGTTTATTATTTAAGAAAAATATACAAATTCAATAAAGTCGATGAGATCGAAACAAATAAATTTGAATTTTTCATGAGTAATGGGAGAGCGAGACCACAAAGGGAGTTGTGAAAATGGCAGTGATGGTCCCTTCTTATTCCATTTCTTGTCTTTTTTTGTGTCAATCTAATTGTTCCTCTCATCTTTATTTATATTTTCTATCATCTTGTCTTTTTATTTATTTAACTGATTTTGTAATGTATTTCTCCCTTTTTATTTTTTATTTTTTTATCATTGCCTTTTAAGCACTGTTATTCTACGAGTCATAGTGTTTTTGTCTAATAGTGTGTGACCACAAGCTCACTACTTGTAATTAGGTTTGCCTTTATGAGTTGCGCATTTGTTTGTGGTTTCAAAACGTACGATATGTGTATACAATGTTCGAGAATGCGCTAGGCGCGGACGGCTCGATTGCGCCTAGCGCCTAAAGAGAAAATCGGGGATTAATCGAAAATTATACGGGATAGAATTTTTAGACTATTTGATATATTATAAGATATATTAATCTTTAATTGTGTATAACATTAAACATTTTCATGTTTAGAATCTTATAAACACACACAAATAGAATATACAAAGTTAATATGCTATAATTTCATCAAAATTATAATTTATTAAATTTTAAAACAAATAAATATATAAAAAATATTATTAAAAAAACAGATTAGGCGGCCGCCTAGGCGGCTAGCGGTCTAGGCGGGTTAAAATCGAACAACCGATTTTCTACAGTAATTTGACATAAATAGGGGCGGAAGAAGGTCACATAGCGTCTAAGCGGTTAGGCGGCCGATTTTTAGAACAGAGTGTATATATAAATGAAACTAAAAACCATCACTACTAAGCATTATCTTAGAGCATCTCCTTATTCTCTCATATATTTGTCTTGATAATGACATTTAAGACTTAACTGGCATAACATTATCATAAGCATTATAATCTTTATTATCCAATCAATATTTATCAAATAAACATTTAAAAAAATATTTACCAAATGTTCTTATATGAAGCTTTTGAAAAAATATTTACAGTTAAATTATATAAAATTTAAAATATAATTATATAAGAAAATGATTTTTATTTAATAATATAATAAATATTTTTATAATAAAAAAACAATTTGTATTTTCAAAAATACAAATAATAATTAAATACTTTTAATTTTTTAAAAAGCACACTATAAATATAATGTAATTTATATAATTACACATATAGTTCATTATTTTTAATAACAAAATAAAATAATATATATTTATATATTATAGATATACACATATCATTATTATTTGGACACTAATAAATAAGTTATATAAGAATATTAATTTTTATGATAATTTTTATATGAATCATTTAATTCTCTACCAATAAATAAATAATGATAATTAATATATAAATTAAATATAATTAATTTATTAATTTAATAATATTAAAATTTATGTTTATGTTCAAAATAATTTAATATTTTAAAATAAAATTTACATTTTTAAATAATAATATTTCACATATAAACTATGATAAGATTCATTATTTTAAGGATAAATATATAATTAATATATATTCTAAAGATAGAAATATTATTTTAAAATTAATATATTATTATACTAACTATTATGATAATTTTAAAATTGCATACTGCTAGTGTTCTGCCAATCATTTTATTACAAATTTTAATGAAATTATACATTTTCTGCAGCATATTGTTTCTATACTACTTTATCATTTGATGTACTAATCGAAGTCTTAGAAAATAATATTATATCCATGCTCTATTTCTTCTTCTAAAATAGAGATTACTATTTTCACCTATATATGTAAACAAAGAAATAGCATTCTTCTATAATAGAGGTATACTTTTATTCACAAAATGATCTTTTAACTTTTTACTTTAACAATTTATAACTAAAAATAAATAATTTTAAGTGAAATGTGTTGTTTATATAAATATAATCATATTTTTTATTTACGTAATAGTTTGTAAGGAAATATTTAGTGTATACAATATCAGAATTTTATGAAGTGTTAATATAAATGGGTTGGTTTTTAACTATCACAAATGAAAAGTATTATTTGAAAAAAAAAGAACATATCAAGAATAGCCTTTTTAGAAAAAGAAATATATGAATATATTAGAGACAAATTCATCTCTATTATAGAATTTCTTTATTTTAGATATAAAAATAAGGGAATTAGAGATGGTCTTAATGTAAATACGAGGACATATATATGACGGTTTGAATGGTGACCAAGGAATGATGAGAAATAAATTATTCCCTAACATTCCTAAAAAAAAGTCACCATTCGTTAGGAATAATTTGTTCTTCTTGTTTCTTCTCATTCTTTTTTTTTGTAGAAGAATATAGAACAAAATTATTCTTTGTTAAAATTGATAAAAAAATAATCATTTTTTTTGTTCCTGCATATTTATTCTTATCTATTTTTTTTCATTCTTATTGTTTCTATAGTGGTTACCGGTCAGACCTGACGTGTAAACAACTGCTATACATGAATGTGGGAACTTTTACGTACGTCTCCTTTTGGAGCTATACATAACTTTTTTTTTTTTGGTAAAAATATACATTAATTTTTATTAGTTATAGAAATCACAATTTTTATATAAATGGATTTTGATGTAGGAGTATTAAAACGAATATATATATATACATAATAATGATCAAACATTGAGTTTTAAGGGACTGCATTTAATAAACATGTTAAATAAGGAGATCCCTCACCTAATGATGTTAGGCTCTAACCGATCAGATTTTCTGCGCGAGCACCAATTATATGTAGATGCGTGTACTTATTAACGTAAACTGAGAGTAAAACGACGCAAATTATTTAATTGGCATTTTCCTTGATGTTTCTGATATACTCTTCCTTTTCATTGGCTGAAAATATTGGATCATTCTGAACGGCAAAGTTTACTCGAGAGCCATGAGTTGGTAGATAGGGACAACGAGCGTAGATGCTTGTGACATATAAACAAAGCTGGTTATAGTGAACGGAAGTTATTTATTTATATTTCGGGATTACATAAAAGTCCTTACAAAACTAAAATGAGTCGTCATCTTCTTATAAGTAAAGTTATAGAACTCAATCTTCGTAGAAGTTATATTCAATTTAAATTCAGTTTTTTCATCTATTACTAAGTGACATGGCTTTAGTATAATAACACTTACCTGGTCTATTTTTCACGAGACTAGACTCTGGGTCCATTAGAACATCTACTATACTGATTTCTAACAACAAAAACAAAAGTAGACTATAATATATATACACTAATCAAGATTTAGTATTTTTTATATATTAATAAAGAACTGAGAGCATATAATTTTGACAATTATAACGTTCAGGTTTTATGATTTATACACTAGGATTGATACACAAGGATATCATAATATATATACTAATCAACAAAAGTAGACTATAATATATATACACTAATCAAGATTTAGTATTTTTATATATTAATAAAGAACTGAGAGCATATAATTTTGACAATTATAACATTCAGGTTTTATGATTTATACACTAGGATTGATACACAAAGATATCATAATAAAAATATTTGACTGTTATATGAAAAAAATGTACAATACTCCATGTGTAACTCCCCTCTTACCGTTAATAGTTAATGAAAAAGAGGGCAATTGATTTTTTTTTTTTTTCTTTTGCATTTTGATGTATAAAGTTTCAACATCTCAGCGAGTTAAGTCATGCGTCAGACATGACTGTGACTAAATAGTAGTATAGTACATGTAAGTTGTAACGAAGTAAGACTGTATAGAATATGACGATTGACTTGGCCATGATGTCTTTCTCGAGAAAGAAAGAAAGAAGAGAATGAGAAAAAAAAGGAAGCTAATTAAAAAGATACCATATAGTGTTTGTCTTACTTGGAGGATAAATGGCATCAAATCAAGAAAAACCAAAAGAAGCAAAACTGTTTTTATGTGTGGAGGTCCAAGGGACCAACATTCTCATGGTCTGGAGCCTCTCCATTTCCCAATACTATCTTTGCATTTATTTTGCATCTAAAATAGACCTAATATAGTTTTGCCTCGTCTAAATTCATATAAGACCAAAATTAGCTTGGACCATTTTTCTAGCTTTTTGGATCTCTTGACCGTTTTATAACAATTTGTTATGATATTTTACTACATGAGATAACATTATACTAAAACTCTTATTTCAATGATTTTGATGAATTCAATTTATGATTGTGAAAGTGATTGACGAAAATATAAAAGACCCCATGACAGTTTCTTTATAAAGCTAATCACGCACTGTGAATGAAAACCAACAATTATAAAAAAAATGTTTGTTTCTTCTAACTTGGGTGAACAAATGATTTATACAGCCAAATTTCCCTTTATTTAAGTACAAATGAATTTTTATTAAGTGTGTTATTTAGTGTTCGTAGTCGAGGCTAGCGACAAAAGAAAAGACTCTCGTGGCTTGCTTGTTCACGATTCACATCTAATATAGATGATCAGAGAAAACGCAAAACACATCTCAGTTTGATGGGATGGCCACGTCCATGTGGTATGCGTGGTCCATGTCTAGATCAACGTGTATGTTCTGTCATGTATCTTGACCACTTAAAGCTTGCCAGCCTGTTTAATCACAAACCCTCAAAATTCACTCTCTTCTTCTGTTTAATATATGAATTTTTTTATATCGGTAGATTGAATCAGTTTTCATAGCCCTGTGCTACAATATGGGCCTTAAAAGGTTCACAATGGACTAAACTGTTGTGAGAAACTACAAACATGGATCTCATAATATTAAAACCCATAACTATCCAGTCTTGTAGTACACGGAAACATGGAGATTACACCAACAAGAACACAACAATCTGTTTCAGCTTCTCCAGTGGCAGTATTTAATACAATTCAATCTGAAACAAGATTCAGAGAATTAAATCTCCAATGATTCCGACAAGAAAGAGAGAAAAAAAACAGTTCAGTTCTGTCTATTTGCAATGTAATCAGCCAAAGCCAACAAAGGAGCCACCTTGTCGGAACCAAACCCTAAAAGCTGATCACGAGCATCTCTACTCAACTTCTCAGCGAACTCTCTCGATTTCTCCAAGCCCATAATCTTCGGATACGTCAACTTATCAGCAACCAAATCCTTCCCAGCAGTTTTCCCTAACTCTTGAGACGATTTCGTGACGTCCAAGATATCATCAACCACCTGAAACAACAAACCTATACACCTCGCGTATTGCCTTAACCTCTCGATCTCATCATCACTCCCTCCACCAACGATCCCACCCAACACCGCAGAGGCTTCAAGCAACGCCGCCGTTTTATGCAAATGTATAAACTCCAAATGCTCCAACCCGACGTCGTTTGAGTCTAACCCTTCGCTGCTTATATCCGCCACTTGTCCAGCCGCAACGCCCTCGACGCCAACGCCTTTAGCCAACTCTCCAACAGCTCGAACCAGTCTCAAAGGACCAACCTCGGGACTCGTCGCCGACACTAAATGCTCGAAGGCAAAGGGGAGAAGCGCGTCTCCGGCTAAAACGGCGACGTTTTCGCCGAAGACTTTGTGGTTCGTTGGTTTCCCGCGGCGGAGATCGTCGTTGTCGATGCAAGGGAGGTCGTCGTGGATCAACGACATGGTGTGGAGCATTTCTACGGCGCAGGCTGCCGGCATAGCGACGGAGGCTTCGCCTCCAACGAGCTCGCAAGCGGCGATGCAGAGGAGGGGTCTGATGCGTTTGCCTCCGGCGAGGAGAGAGTAACGCATGGCTTCGTGGATCTTGAGTGGTTCTTGGAGTGGAACGGCCAAGTCCAAGGCTGCGTTGACGGACTCGGCTTTGCTGACCATGTAAGACGTGAAGTCGAAGGAAGTGGATTTGCTGTTGTGTTCTTTTGTGACGACGGGAGAGGAGACGCTGTGGGAAGGTGGTGAAACGGTGCGTTTAGGGTTAGTGACGATGGGTTTAAGAGTCATGAGGGGATATGATCTTGGTGTTTTAGATCGGGTAAAGATAGACGAAGGAGAAAGATGATGGTGATGTTTGTTGTGTACCCATGAACCTAGAGTCATTGAAGCCATTGAGATTGTAGAAAAAAATATGATTGCTTAGAAGACTCTGGAGGTTTTGAGTCAGAATCAGTTGAGGTTTGTGTTGGACACTACTCAAGTCTAGGGGTTTAAAAAGCACTAGTGATGCATGCATGTGTGTTTTTTTCTTTTTTGTCAACAGCATGTATGTTTTATTAAAAAGCATATTCTTCTTCACTTCCATTATTTATCTAATCTAAAAAATAAAAGTACTGTCACGTTTATTTTGCCTCCAATTTTTTTATTCTAATTGTTTCCCAAGTATAAAAATGTTGTAATAAGGGAATTCGGTGTTCAATATATATTTTTTTTGGGTGCAAAGTATTCAATATATATGATGAATACATGTGCGGAGTTTTGATGGAACTAAAACACTAAACCCCAAGAAGGCGACATTTCTAAGGTTTGCAATTTAACATTAGTTTTTAATCTTTCATGGCTTTTTAAATAACTGAAAGAAACCTTTGTAGTGTTTTATTACTATAAAAAAGCATCTTCTTCTTCACTTCCATTATTTGATTAATTTTAAAGAATAAAATTATTGTCACGTTTACTTTTCGTCGAAAATCTTTATTTTATTTGTTTCAAGTATAAAAATGTTATAAAAGATGTTCGGTATTAATAAAATCTTTTATTAGTTATTTTAGTATTTAATATGATTTTGTAAGTTGAAGAATCTGTGTTAATTTCTTACAAATGACATTTTTGACATGAAACATTTAAAAAAAAATCTGATTAATTACACATATAATAAGTTAGAAATTCATGTTAATATGTATTAAATAAATATAACTTTATAAACTTGTGAAGAATAAAGTATAACTGACTTATTATATCCACTAACTAGAGCCAATTTTATTCAATAATTTTCATGTGATATGTTTAACACATGTGACAGTTTTGATTATTAATTTTAAATCTGAATAGACCCACTCTATCCAGAATGATGGAAACCAAATACTAAAACCCAACAAGGCGACAAATACAATGGTTTGTGCTTTAACATTATTTTTAATCTTTAAGTTATTTTAAAAACCTAAAAAAACGTTTTGGGAGTGTTCCATTTAATATAAATGGCATAGAACATGCATACGCGTCAGATCCGGTCTGGGCATTTATGAGTTACGCATGTGTTTTACGCATTGTAAAATCAAAAAGACATAAAGAACGTGCAAACTACAAAAACTATTGATGATATTACGGGCCTAATGGGCTTAATGGTATTAATGGGCCGAGTTGTAAAAAGATTTTGACATACTCTAGCGTCGAGGAAAAGCACAACGATTCTATCATTCTTCTTCGTCGTATAGCTTCCGGGGACGAGAATCGGCGAGCTTTGATTCAGTCTTAATCTGTTCCGATCTCTTGTTTTTGCAACGAAATTATCATCATCTCGTAAGCTTATGTTAGAAAGTTTTATTTTTTTTTTTATTTTGGTTACCCTTTAGACTTGTTTATGTGACTATTTAGGAAAATTTTGGATCTTTAAGCCCTAACTTGATCAAAGCCTTCTCCTTTCGATCTGTTGTCTGAAAATTCTGATAGCTTTCTAACCAAGATTGACTGCTTTAATCATAGCTTGTGATTTGGTGACAGCTGTTGTTGTTTGTGAGAGTTTCTTGAAAGAGATCAGAAGCAATGATTGGGTTGTTTAAAGTAAAGGAGAAGCAAAGAGAAGAAGCTCAGAACGCTAGTAGAGGAGGTGGAGCTTCTGTCAAGAAGCAATCTGCTGGTGAACTTCGTCTTCACAAAGGTTGTTTCGATTGTATCTGTTTTTTTTTTTTTTTTTTTTACAATTTGTTCTTCCATTAGTAGTAGACTCTTCTCAAGTTTCACTCTGGTGTTTTTTATTGATTTGTGTAGATATATCAGAGTTGAACCTTCCAAGCTCGTGTACGATATCTTTTCCTAATGGCAAAGATGATTTGATGAACTTTGAAGTCTCCATTAAACCTGATGATGGATTCTACCAGTTGAGTAGAGCTTCTTTTTTCATCACTCTTAGAACGATTCGGAAACTCATTTGTTTATTTCTTGTGTGAATGAATGATGCAGTAATGGTACATTTGTTTTCACGTTCCAAGTGTCTCCTGTGTATCCACATGAAGCTCCTAAAGTCAAATGCAAAACCAAGGTACGATTAGGATCCTCTTCCTTTTGCATTCCTTATAGTTTCATCTTCTACTTGGAGTGTTACTTGTTTATATGTAAACATGTTTGTTTGTTTTCTGTTTTTAGGTTTATCATCCCAATATCGATTTGGAAGGAAATGTTTGCCTCAACATCTTGCGTGAAGACTGGAAACCAGTTCTTAACATCAACACTGTTATCTATGGACTCTTCCATCTTTTCACGGTAAACACATTAGCCTAATACATCAATCTTAGGTTTTTTGTTGTTTGGATCTCTTAAACTGAGTTTTTTTTTGTATTCATACAGGAACCTAACTCTGAAGATCCATTGAACCATGATGCAGCACAAGTTTTAAGGGATAACCCTAAGCTGTTTGAGACCAATGTCCGGAGGGCCATGACTGGTGGGTATGTTGGTCAGACCTTTTTCCCGCGCTGTATCTAACAAAAAGCTATGGTTCGTTTTCGTCAAGCAAACAGAGAAGAACCAAAACCCCTCTATCCACCATTGTATTTCTCAAGGAACCCTTTGTTTATTTGCTTTTGCAAGACTACATTCTGCGTAAGAGAACCCTTTCCCGTAGCTCGTGATCTTTCTGAACTTTTAGTTCGTGAGACTGAAACGGATTGTGTAACATGCTTGATCGTTGTCTTATATTTGTGGTTCTTCTCAAATTCAGTTTGATTTTGTTTTATTCGGTTCCGGTTTATAAGTCCAGCTCTGGTATACATAGTGAGTGACAGTGGTCTCCAAAGGTATTGGAAGGATCAGAACATAAGCAATCCTCAGATCATTTCAGTTTCTTTAGAAGTCGCTGTTTTCACATTTTTGGATGTTTCTGTAAAACGAAATGCAAGCAAGTATAACAGAGCCCAAACCGAACTGCCATCATCCACAAAAGTCTATTGCTGCTTCATGCACAACATTAGTGTTGGGAACGGGATTGTTAAGAAGGAAGAGATAGTGATGGATGAAGGAAAAAAGATGAAAAAGAATGTTAAGGAACTGAAGAATAAAACAGCAGATGAAGCTCTCAACGACGTGTAAGCTACAAAGTTCAAGGAAGATATAAACACGGTTCAAGAATTGAGAATCTTGTAGAAACAAAGACATGTGTTCAAGAAACATGAGTCCTTTATTTTGTGGATGTCTGAATGCAAACCAAAGAGAAGCATCTGTGTAATGACTTACAATATGTTTGGTTCAACAGTGAAATAACAGAAGAAAGCTATTGCTAAACATCTAAATCCAGGAGGGATTCAAACCGATACACTGACAGGTTCGGTAGCTTTCTTGAGCCATTGCATTTCAGTCAGGCTCATGAACGGAGCCAAGATGTTCTGGCATTTCAAATGGTATGTGTTTAACCAATCTATCTCTTCTCGTGTCAACTGCTTTAGATCAATAAGTTTCACTTGATACGGTGCCTAGAGAGAGACAGAGAATGAGAGTTAAGATAACAGAACCAAGAACAGTTGAGAAATACACAGTGAGCAAGTAAGTACCCAAGTGATATGCTCAAATTGCAAGTAGCCCTTGTCACCAAAGTTAAACTCAGTTTCAGCATCATTGACCACAAGAACATTCTCTAGCCTAATACCAAAGTTCCCATCTTCATAGTAACCAGGTTCTGCAAAACAAAGAAATAACAAACCACGGTTAAAAGATGAAGATCTGTATCAAGCTTTTGTTGTAGACATACCATCTGTTACAGTCATGGTAGCTTGAAGAGGTACATTCCTAGCACTTGGTCTGAAACTAACTTGGTGAGGTCCTGCACAATCCCCACACCTGTTATGTTAATATACACAGACAAGAAAGAATAAAAAAAAGAGGTTTCTAATCACTTTACCTTCATGAACAAAAAGGTAAGAACCAACTCCATGACCAGTACCATGTCTATAATCCAAACCATACTTCCACAAAGGAGCTCTAGCAAGGATATCAAGTGTGTAACCGTTTGTTCCTTTCGGAAACCGAGCATTTCCAAGTGCAACATGACCCTTGAGCACCTAAGATGCCATCCCAATAAAACATACATATCAGAGTCAATAAGAACGCTATCCTCTTCAGAAAGTAATCATCCATTACCGCAGTATAACATTCCTTCTCATGAGCTGAAGGTTTCCCAAAGTGAACTGTTCTTGTTATATCAGTTGTTCCATCGAGATACTTCACTCAAACAAAATGTGTATGTTAGAGCATTTAAGGGAAGCTCATAGTATTTAACTCAATCATGTGATTATAAACCTGTGCTCCTGAATCACATAAGTAGATTTTGTCAGGGTCCATCTCAGCACAAGCTTCAGGCTCTGGTGAGTAATGAATGATGGCAGCGTTTGAACCAACAGATGATATAGTAGGAAAGCTTAAACCTCTAAAATGCTGCAACCACATGAACATAAACGTTATATATTAAGATGCTTTCACACTGAATGATGTTTTGATATGTAAAAAAACGTTACCTCTTTAGCAGCTCGGAGACTTTCCAGCTTATCACTCACAGTCACTTCAGTAAGCTTAGAGGTCTCACTAGTTGGTTTCTTTTTGTTTGCCTCTGCTTCCAGAAAGTAACCAGATGCTCCATAAACCTCCTGCATCTGCGGTTTCACAAAGACAAATGTACATGAAAAAATCTTCTATAAAGTATTGTTCAAGACTTTCTATTCAGTACCTGTTGATCGAGCCAAACAAGGTACTGGACAACAGCAGCACCATCACGAACATGTGCTTTCTTGAGTCCTTCAAGCTCAACAGGGTTCTAACAAAAAAGAGCAGAACCAATAGTATAAAGTAAATAAGTTAAGAGAAGTAACTTCTTAAAAAGACTATTCATTAGTTATTACCTTTAAGGCTTTTGGTAGTGAGAGAGGAGATGGTTGCAAGAGGACCTTATCAGCATCCAACTTGGAATAAAGTGCATAGCAACATGAAGCAGGGTCCAACCATAACCGATCAGTCTGGTCAGAATCAATCTCCATGTCCTTAGTAGCCTCACTTTTAGAGGAGAATGATGAAAAGAGTTTATCCGAAGCAAGTAATGACACATCTGAGATCACATCTGTGTACTCCTTAACCTCTACACCAAGCCCTTTGAAATAGTCACTCGCCTCACTGGATACTTTCTTCTTGTCCACATAGAGGAACGCAGAGTCGGTTGTAACGATTCCAAACGCATGAACAACAGGACAATAAGCAACATCGGTTCCACGGATATTGTAAAGCCAAGCAACCTCGTCAAGAGCAGCAATGACCAGACCACGCACACTTTCTTGCTTAAGCTTTGCTCTCAAATCTGTTAACTTCTCGGAGACAGAGCGGCCAGCAAACTCCAATGGATGAACAAGAACAGGGTTCATCTCAGAAGGTGGACGGCTCTTCCAGACTTCATCCACAAGATCAGTTGTTGTCGGAATAAGGTTCTGACTCTTCTTAGCAAAGGCTTTTCCCCATCTGTTCGCTGTGTCTACCGAGACACACCATGGATCAACACCTATGTTTGCTTCTTCAGATAGATTCTAACATTGTCCCCCAAAACCAAAAAAAAAGACATCAATGAATATAAAATCAAAAGAAACATGTCAAAGTCATTGATCTTATGACTCACATCAGACATCCAAACTTCAAGAAGTGGGTCTTCCCCCATACGCATAAGTGTCCACTCATCACTCAGCTGTTGGATCGCTTGCAAGAAGTAGCGTCCATCAGTCCAAAGCCGTGCTTCGTTCTTCGTGATTAGCGCCAAACCTATCAAAAAAAAACAAAACAGAGAGAGACAGAGATCAGTAAAGGGTAAAGTCATTTCCGAACCAAAGATCTAGTCAACGATTATAACAGAAAAACACACAAACCTGCACTTCCAGTAAATCCAGACACGAACTCACGGCGTTTGTCTCGAGCAGAAACATACTCGCTCTAAAAATTTCAATTAAATAAAAACTATAAAAATCGAAACTTTATATTGTTCAAGGATCGGATCATGGATACAAGAAAAAGGGTTAATTCAAAACCTGGTGATAGTCTTCGGAAGGGACGACGAGAGCATCGAGAGGAGGAGAGTGAGAGGCCATTAGTGACCTTAGGGAAGAGAGAATCTCAGAAGACATGGCGGTGTTTTTGGGTTTCGGTTTCAGATAGAATTTTGCGTTATTTTGAGTCTTGTGTCAATGTCGAACACAGATGCAGAGAGAGAGAGAGATAGAGATAATAAAAAAGTACATAAACAGTTCACGTCTTCCTAGGAATCCTAATGGCTGACGCAACTGCAACAAATTTAATTATGTTTTACAAATAGTTTAGTTTTAGTTTTGATAAATACTAAAAACTGAACACAATAATTTTGTTTTTTTTTTATCAAACAGGAATTCATTCACATTTGTGGAGAATAATCAAGAGACGATATTAATTTAAAAATAAAAATAAAATAAGCATGTAAAACCATTAGTGTAAGAAAAATAAATAAAGAAGACATCAGAGTTTTTTTTTTTCTTTTGGTTTTAAGGTTGTGAAAGTCTCTTGACAATTGAAGTCATGTAGTTTCCTTGATGTTCAGCAAGAGCCAGTTCTGTTACTATTGCTTCTCTTGAGCCATCACCTGCGAACACACCCGGCTCCATAAGGTGAGCCTCAACGTATGGAGTACATCTTGAACATCCCAGCTCTAGCTGTGTCCATCTGAAAACAAACATGACATGGAATCAGTAGGTGTTTCAAAGATTGACACTGACAAATGACACCATGATCTGCAAAATCCATGTGATGTGAGATTCCGCATTATTATGCTTCCGTATACTACTTTCTTAGGTCGTCAGAAACACGAGGAGATTGCATAAGGAATAGATTTCATATTAACTTGGGACTAGATCAGCTGAAAGGATCTATAACTAGTGAATGCAAATAATGAAAGAACATTACACAATTTAGAGGAGACAACACTTTCAGGCCAAGAAATGCAACACTTTCTCATATCCAAAAGAAGTTCACTTTACAACTTCTAAAAATTCACCTTAATACTACAGCCAACACTGGTCTAACATAGAGAACAGCATACTCAATGGTAGGCTTGGGCGTTTTTACTCCAACCCGAAGTACCGACCTAAACCCGAACGGCAAAAATTGAACCCGGATCCAAATCATTATACAAAACTAACCGAACAGGACTTATGAGCCTAGTACTTCGGACTCTGGGTATAACCGGAACCGAACCAAAATCCGAAGTATGATCCAAAGGTATCCGAAATTAGTTAAATATGTTAATATTTTTATATATGTTAAGGTAATTTAGATAGTTTATAATATTCTAAATATTTTCGTAGTCTATGTTATATGTTATTTTGAATATATCTTAGCTAATTTAGATAATTTAACTAATTTTTAATTATACTTGTGAATAATTTACATATTTTGAATACTATTTTGTCAAATTTTTAGGTTAAAAAAAATATTTTGGACGATTTCATACATTGGTTATAATCTGATCCGAACCGAACTCGGAAGGAACCAAACCAAACCCGATCCGATTATTAGCAAAAACCGAATGGTACTTATGAGCACAGTACCGAAAATCTAAATCAACCGAACCGAAATCTATTAGGCCACCGAATGTCCATGCCTACTCAATGGTGGTGGCCAGAATCACAAAGCACACCAATACAATTGAGTTCTGAAACTACACATCTACTAGATTCCCTTAGAAATAAAACGGTATAGTTAAGGAAGCAATCAATTCCACCATATAGACTATAAACTTTTCAGGTAAAACATATATAGAAAGTCCATGTCTTTCTATAGTTGCGCTTTTACTTCAGATGATGACTCTATCAAAACACAAAGCTTTGACGAGAGAGAACTCGAATACGTGTACTCCAATCACACCATAGACTATAAAACTCAACTGTACCAGAGTAAAGTCCTGACAACAACAAACTTTTCAGTTAAAACACACATATGTATGGTTCACGACTTTCAAAAGTTACATTTATTACAGAGAATGACTCAATCAAAAAGACAAAACTTTGGTTGGTCTTTCCACAGTTGTCCCGTCGAGTCAAAGAAAGCCTTCACCTACGCAACCAAACAGAAACCCCATGAACCTCGGTCGACAAAAAGAAAAACAGTAACTGAATCATTCATTAGTCAGGTCCACTTAAAACGACGACGTGTATTGTGTTAATTACTTAATATTGAGTTGATGATTGGACTAAGTTCGTCGGTTACCAGTTACTGGACTTTATAGTTATTAGCCCGTTTATGTTATATAATAGAAGCCTTTTAATATAGGTTTTTTTCCATATTGGGGTATACTTTGTCAACAGATTGCTATTTATACATGAAAAATCTATCAAACTAGTAACAATTTTATAAATGTGTAATCATTGTTGTTGCTAGCTTAAAATAGTTGTGGACACTAACTTCCATGTCTCACATATGTTGCAGTTGTCATAAGGATTTTTACGTTCTTAGATTCGAATTTAGTTTGAGTTTACATGTATAGCCTTTTTATTAGTATTCGTAAAAATATTTCGAATGTTCATCAATTCTCTTTATTGTCCAAGGTACGAACAATTAAACATCTAAAAGACAAATATAAGAATAAATACATGTACATCTGTTTTTGGCCATTTAGTTGTGTCTTTCATTTGCTGCATCCAGTTTGTTTCAATTTCATATCAATGTACGAGCCTAAATTTGATAGATTGAGACTTCTTTTCTTTGAATTATTTTTTTTTATCGAAAATCCACCAATGATTGAGTGTTTTTATCCTCTAAATGGATAATCATGTTTATGCATGAGTGAGTGCAAAGGGTGTCTGAATGCACAAATTAGTTCAAAAAAAAAGAAAAAAGAAAAGGGTGTGTGTCTATATGAGTGCATACTAGCGCCACTAGGGCTGGGCGCAAGCCGGTCCGGTACTCGCCTTATCCCATACAAATATCACAAATATGATTTTGTATTTGTACTTGATTAATCGAATATTTGTTAACCAAATAATTGCTTAATATTGAAATACTTATAAATTATTTGGTTAAACTTGTTATTTATTTGTTTATGTTTAAAATCTTAAAAACCAACTAAATTAACATCTTCAAATTTTAAAAATACATGGTAGGATTGATTTTAGCCAAATATATATATATATATATATATATATATTCATAGGAAACTACATAAGATATTTAATATTATAATCAACACAATAATTTTTGATATATTATGTTTAATATCACTTTGATATTTAAAAAAAAATATTTCTAATCTTATATAAATAACGGTTTTCTCAAAGTCATTAACAAACTATTAATAAATTTTTGGTTTAATACTAGAAAAACAAGTAATAAATAATAGTAACCAAATAGTTAAAAAAAATTAAGATTTGATACTTGGTTTATATTTGCAAATTTTTAATTTGATGTACTTGTTACTTATCTTGATCACTGCAAGTAGTTGGTTTACAGACCAAATATCGAACAAATACCAATTACAAATCGGATATCAAGTATCCAACCTTACTATTAGGCACTGCCTAGGGTGCCTGTCCGTCCATATACATAAATAGTGTTTATTAATGTCAGAGTATTTGCAATTGTAATTGATATGATGATTGCTTTCTTAGTGGCTAATCCGATGGTGTCTTTTGACGTGGTTGAAAGCGTAATATTTAACTAACGTAGACAAAATAACTTAATGTATATCATCTTACCTACCATCTTGAAATAAAGTTGTATGAAAATTACCAACCATCGTGTTACGTTTTTAAAATTCGTTTGTTAATCAGGAGAATGGTTAATAACCTAAAAAAAATTCAAATTGCAGATGTTGGTTATATGACTCAACTAGAACTAGTGTAGAATGTGAAAGATCATTTATACTCAATCCATTCAAAATGATTCATGTTTTAGAACAAAAATATTCAAAAGGATATATCTTTTACATTTTCAGCATTATTAGGTAATAATGATAACTTATAAATCTCGAAGAAATGAATTGTTTTGTTTTTTTGCTAAATGGTAAATATAGTTTGTGAAAATGAAAGTTTGGTTACAAAATTAATTGAAACCACAATTTGCATGAATTGTTTTGTTGAATCTTCATTAGTTAAAAAATTAAAAATACTATTACAAATAATGTATTTATAATCAAAACTTAAGAGGTTTTTGATATGTGTGTAAAAACTTTAAAAATATATAATTTTGAAATAAAAGAAATACATTTTTGGTATAACTAAAATATTTTTCGTTATTAAGAATTAATATAGATCTTACCTGATTGGTTGTACATGCCTAATTTTGTAGCAGCCAATCTAATAAATGTATTAGTGCTTTGATAAGTTTTA